GGGGGGGGGGGGGGGGAATTACTGTTGAGCACAAAGCCAATAGCTCTGTCTGCTGCGGCTATCGAAACATAAACTTACAACTTGTGGTTCAAATTTACAATTGAGCCATCCATTGTGACGTTTTACCCGTCACCACACAAAACTCGTACAACATAAAAGTTCGGGAGCAAGTTACTAATAACTGTACTGTACGACTTAACTACACCTTTAAAGTTACAGTATGTAAGCCTACCATATGTTTTCTATCCCCTTTAGATAACATATATAAAATTTCACGTCGGCCAAGGAAGTATTAAGTTCTTCTTGCCCTAGAAACTCACGGAACTAGCTCATTCATTAAGAGTATCACACATATTTCTTCGCAGGAAATATTGCTGTAACATAGCGCATAATTGAATAGAAAGTGACAGTACCTTTTATACAGACCAATCAGGGGATTCCCCATGCACATAACATTCCTTGCCTTGCAGTGAGAGTGACTGTCAGTCACGTTGGTGGCACATACACTCTTAGAAGAATGGTATCATTATTTTTCCTATATAATGATATTGTTACGTCTGTGTTCGTTTGTTAATTTTCCGTAGCAATTCTTTCCGAGAAACTACAGCAATACAAGTCTTTTCTTAAATAAAACTAGTTTATTCTTTCTCAATTCAACTTTGCAATACACTTAATTTCCACAGTCAATTTAACTTAAACACACGCTATAATTCACAATGAACGATTCACATACTTTACTTACTACCGCGCTTGACTTAATTGTCCGTCTCTATCTCTGCCTGTCTGCAATTCAATTATGTACCTATCTCTATCTATTCCGTCACTTCTCGCTGGTCTTATATATACGAAATAGAGGGCTTCTGAAGAGCGTTTGAGCCTTCACGAACGTTCTAGATACTCATTACGTGTTACCAGCGTCACGTGAATTCCGCTGTCGTAACACTGCGCCTTCCTTAGTATTGTTCGTCCCGAACAATAGCCACTTACATTAAACCAATAGATAATTAACAATAACTTAATTAAATGTACAGCATTTACAAACACAGAAATTAAAATTCAACAAAGTCTCTTAATTTTACGGGACGTATCTTCTTCTGCACTGGTCTCCATCTCGTTGGCTTCTGCTTCACGTTGGGTTCATCTGCTCCATCAGGAAATGTCCTAGCGTCGGTAATAGTCACATCAGTGGCAGTAACTTCATCAAGGGTTTCACTGTTTCCCTTCTCAAAACCAGGTAGAAATTTTTCTTTGACAGTGGCTTTTTCAGGTGACACATATTCAGAGGCGTCTTTTGTTCCATTATTCACTTTGTCCCAACTGAAATGTCCTGGACTGTGATAATGCCAAAGCCTGTTGGCATGCACCACCTTTGGCTTACCTTGCCGACCACATTTTATTCAGAGAGTCACGTCTGAGAGACGATCCACTATGTCATATGGGCCTTCCCATGGAGATGACAACTTAGAAGACTTCCGTTTGGTCTTCTTGGGATTATATAACCACACCTTGCCTCCTGGTACGAAGCTCACTTCAGTAGATCTCTTATCTCATAACATAGCTTCATGGAATCAGCAGACGTTTTCAAGTTTGAACGCACTTGATGGTGAATATTATTTATCCTTTCCGATAACACTTTCACGAATTCTGAAACATTTTCAGGCAACTCTTCATAAGGTAGGCGTCCTGTTAGCAGATCCACTGGCAACCGAAGTGCCCGACCAAACATCAACTTTGCTGGAGTGTATCCAGTGGCTTCATGCTATGCTGTCCTATAGGCCATCAACAGTGGAGGGAATAAGACATCCCAGTCATCTTGGTGGCTATTACAAAACTTTGCCAATTCCTGTCTCCCAGTGTCCAGTTGTATTTTTCTACCATCCCATCAGACTGTGGGTGAAATGGCGTTGTTCTGGTCTTTCGTATGAGAAACAACTTACAGCATTCATGGAACACAGCTGATTCAAAGTTATGGCCTTGATCTGAATGCAGTTCGTATGGCATACCAAATCTGAAGAAGAAATCTCTAATAGCCGAAGCTACAGTTGTAGCTTCCTGATTTGGTATAGCATATGCCTCAGGCCACTTGGTGAAATAATCCATCACCACACAAATGTACCTGTTTCCACACGAGTTTGGGGCAAAGCAATGTCAACAGCTATTCTTTCCATTGGTGCGCCAACTTGATATAACTTCATAGGAGCACGTCCCGTATGATTGGGTCCCATTTTAGCACAATATGTACTGC